AACAGACACAAAATGACCACAAAGAGACACAAAATGACGACAATGAGGCACAAAATGACCACAAAGAGACACAAAACAACAACAAAGAGGCTAAACTGTCGCTTTAATTGCCAACTTAGGTCCAGATCTTAAATTATTACCGGTTATTTTTTTCCAGACACTGTTTCAGTTGCCTCCTAACTTAGCCGCTAGCCATTAGCTTAGCATTAGTCACTGTGAAAGGCGCTAATGTCCTGATTTGTGTAGATGTTTGTGCTTCTTGTTCAGTTTTTGCGGGTTTTGTCCATCAGTTAGAACAGATTGTCAGAGTTAATCTGACTTTCTAAAGACGCCTCAGCGCTCCAGATAGCGTTAGCCTAGCGCCGTCAGCAGAACCAGTTCCCGCTGCACCGCTTGTTAACACCAGAAAGCGAATTAACGGGTCTTTCTGTGTAACACGATGAACGCTTGTGTGATATTGTTGTGTTTATTAAAACGACAGCCGCTCTGCTAATGTGCTCATCTGTCTCTCTGTGTAAACAATCGTTGTTATTGGCTGTTATACATAAAAACAACAAAACAAAAAATCTGAAAATTTGCATCTGGGTCAGTAATCGGTCGGTCCCTAAACAAAATGACTGCAAAAAGACATGAAACAACCACAGAGAGACACAAAACTACAACGATAATACCACAAAAACACAGAAAATAACTACAAAAAGACACAATCTACTAACGAGAGACAAAAAAATGGCTGCAAAGACAAAAAACTATCCTGAAAAACACTACAAATATACAAAAAACAACAACAGAGACAGACTGCAGTGGGTCAAGGCCACTTCAAAGAGCTGCTGCTCAGTTTGATAAAAGCTGATCAAACACAGTCCAAACCCGCCGACCCACAAAGTGAACATGAACCAGCGGAGGGTCGACTCGACAGACACACAAACACACAACTCGCTACCTGTCGCTGCAGGTTTGTCTGCCGAGCGTCAACAATCTAAAACCAGTCGACCGGGTTGTCACAGAAACACTTTGCTTTTGCAGATGTGCGTTGCTTTAATTTGTCAAATGTGAAAATCAACAGAATATTTTGGAGTTTTAAATGTTTGTTGGGACAAACGCAACATTTTAAGTTGTTGTGTTGAGATGTGGTGAATGATGACGAGAATTTTCTGTCACTTTAAAAACAAAAACAATCTGTTTACAAAGAAAATAAGATTAATCAATAATGAAAATGTAAGCTAACTGCAGATGTCAATACTTAACCTTCATGCTGACATTGATTAGCGACCTGATTAGCTAACTGGTTAGCTTTTCAAACATTTATTTTTTATCTGTTATGTCATATTTTTAAGTTTTGTACTAGTTATCGATTACTGTAAGCTCTATTTCATCTGACATGTCCACATATTTGAGCTTTTTAGCCATTTAGCCACTAGCTTTATCTGTTTTCTGACCATCAAATCAATAGCTGTTAGCATTTTCATCATTTATCAATCAATCCTGGCAATATTTAAACTATTATTGATATTTTCTGACACTTATTTATTAATTTAAGCTCTGTCTTAACTGATATATCCATATACTTCAACTTTTATTACTTTTGTTTTTCAATCATTAAATCAATACCCTTTAGCTTTATTAGCATTCACCTAGCATTAGCTTGATGCTGCATGAGGCATTTTTTAGGTTGTTCACCATTTATCTGATACTTTAAGCTCTGTTTTATTTGACATATTCATATATTTGAGCTTTTAAACCATCTGGCTATGAGTTTGATCTGTTTTCTAACCATTAAATCAGTGACTTTTAGCATTTTCAACTGTTTATCTCAACTTTTAGCGATAGTCCAACTGTGAAATCATTATTTGGTTTTCAGAGTTTTTATCTTTTCATCTTTTTTTCCCTGTTCATCAATACTCTTAACTGTTTTATTAGATTTTCTACTTCCAACCGGTTACTTTTAGCTAGAATTGGACTTTTATATGAATATGTTTTATCTTTTTCTACATTTTATTTATGACTTTTTACAATATTTTGACTGTATTATAATATTTTTCTTTTCGTTTTCTCCATTTTTCTCACACTTCTGGGTATATTTTAACTGTTATATCCACACATTTGTCACAACTGGGCTGTTTGTAACTCTGTCATCCATTATATCATTAACTTTAAGCTTTTTTAACATTTATCATTACTCTGAGCAATATTTAGAATATTTTGACCATTTCTTTTTACATTATACCTATTACTTCCAGTAATATGTTGACTTTTATATCAGCTTTCTTTTGTTTTTTCTATATTTTATTGATCAAATTTAGCAATAATTTGACTGTAATATCAACATTTTGGGGGATTTTCTGCAGTCATGTCTTACTCTTTGCAATATTTATACATTTATTTGAACGTCCTTCAGCTTTTCTACATCTTCTATATCGTTTATGTTCATATTCTTCAGGTTTTTCTACATTATATCTGTTAAATTTAGCAATAATGACTATAACATATATTTTTAAATATTTTCTACATCTATCTGTTACTCTTGGCAATAATTTGACTGTAATATTAACACACTCGTTGATTTTCTACATCTGTCTTTCACTCTTTGCAGTATTTTGACATTTATATTAATATTCTTTTGTTTTTCTAGATGTTATTTATTAGTTTTATCAATCATTTGACTGGAATCTCTTTATTTCACACGTCTGGCTGCACTTTAACTCTTATATTCACATATGTGAGGTTTGTCTCATGCAAACTCCTTCAACTCTCTGATTTACTCTCATTTTTGAACATAAAGTCTCTTTACTGAGACGAGCTGCTGCCGGTTGTCCCGGTGATCCCCGGTAATCCGGTGTGCGCTCACCTTCTTGGCCTTGTTGATCAGGGACCGGATCAGATCTTTAATATTGTGAGATTTGTCTCTCTGGAAGTAGATCTGCGTCTCCGACGGTCCGTATCTGGACGGAGACTCGGGCCAGCCGAGCTCCAGCATCGGCGGCTCCTCGTCGGACATCATGGGGAAGTAGGTCCCGGAGGTGAGCTCGGACACCGCGTCTCCGTCGCCGAAGTCGCGCTCGTTGGGCCCCGCGGCGCCGTTGCTGTCGGGGCTGGTCTTGCTGGCCGCATTCTGGCTGATGTAGTGGATCTCCAGCGGGGACAGAAAGTTGAGCTCCCGCTCCTCGGCCAGAACCCTCCGGTACTCCTTCTCGCCGAGCTCCAGCAGCGCGTCCGTGGCGAGCCGCGCCGCCTCGTTGTGGCTCAGCTCCAGCGTGGACACCTGCCGCCACGGGTTCTTCACCTCCTCCAGCCGGGACGCCAGCTTCCCCAGCGGCTTCCGGCCGTTGCTGGCCGGCCGCAGGGCCTCGGAGCTGATCATGGTGCCGCAGCGGGCGGATGACCGGGGGGGCTGGAGGGACCGACCGGCCGGCGGGGCGCGCAGAGACGGACGGAGCCGCTGAAGACACCGGAGACGAACCGGAGACGAACCGGGGGCGCACGGAACTACCTGCTGCTGCCCGCGGGACGCATGCTCAGAACACCGATCGACAGGATTATCACGGATCGATAATCCACCTGAGGTCAAGCGCGCGCCGCAGATAAACCGGTGAAAGTCCTGGTTCCGGTAACTTCCGTCCTGCGGCTGCTTCCCGGTGCTGCTCGGCTGTAATGGGCCTCTGCTCTCCGGTTCCCGGAGCTGTGTGTGTCCGTGGGTGTGTGTCTGTGTGTGTCCTGCTCACCTGTTGCCACCTGTCCTGTCATTGGTCTCTACGTCAGTAGGCCCCGCCCCCTCCCTCCGTTGTCAGGCCAACCGGCTCACAACAGGAAGTTCGGTCTGGCCGAGGATTCCCAAATAAAACAAAGTGATGAAAGAGACAAATGAGAGAAAGTCAACATACAAGGACATTTAGTCAAAAGGAAGCTTTAAATAAAATAGATAAAAATTAAAAAAAATTAAAATGACCAATTAAAAAGCTCCGTTATGAACAGATCTGTTCACAGAGCTACAAAATAATGGACACACCACATAACAGGCTAAATGTTGTTCATTTAACAGCTGAAAAACAAAAGATATAAAACTATAAAAATATAAATAATGTAGGAAATTAAAATAAAAATGATTAATATATCAGTCAAAATAAAGCCCAGGCTAATTCATAAATGTTCTTTTTTTTTAGTCTAAAGGTATGAATATAATGGTTTAAACCAAACAATTAAATAGTTAAAATAGCAAAAAACTAAAAGTTATTGATTTAGATGTTGGAAAACAAATAAGACATAAAAGTGAATTGTTCAAAAGCTACGTGTTTGTGAGCTGAAATATAGTTAAAATGGAATATAAAAGGTAGAAAACTAGATTAAATTAATACCCAAATGATTAAAAAAGTAAATATATATGGATTTATGTCTGTTATATGTAAATAAAAGGGTGGCAAGCTTAAAAATAGTCATGCTGATAATAACTGAGTCATTAATAAATGTTTTAAAGGCCAAAAATTATGAGTATAATGATTAAAATAAAGCTATAAAATACTGTGATACTGTGTAAAAGTTAATAGAGCTACAAATAAATTGAATAACTTTTTTTTAAAAAGCTGACAATGTGGCTCAAACAGCTGTTTAATGTAGTTCTTGTGATTTAATTCCTGCTACGAGTGCAGTGCTTTTATTTTGAAGGCTGGCCTCCTGTTGTTTGAGTCTTTTCTCCTTAATAATCTGCTGAAATCATCACCTGAGTTCAGTCCTGAGCTCTGCTGAGGCTTCAACAGGCTGCTCACTGTTTCCTGCAGGTTCGTGAAGTTTAAATAAAGTTTTGTTGCTTTGATTTTGCTCTTTTCAGAACAGCTTCAGTGCTGAAGTCTGAGCGCTGACGGGGACGGTTCTCCTGCTGCAGCTCTCCTGATGTGTGAAATGAAAAACCTGGCAGGTCCTGTGGGACTGTCGCCGTGGTAGCAGTTACATGGAGGCTGCAGACGCGTCCCTTCGGCCTCATACATAATAAACACACACATGAGCGGGTCGAGGCCGGATTCAGCTCATTTTCTGTTCTGATCCAACGACCATCAGCCTCTGGAGCAGCTTCACTGATAATGAAGGTGTTCAGCTGCTCAGTCATGACTCGTTATTTCAAATAGTTAAACTATAAAACCTCTGACTCCTGCTTATGAGTTCTTCATGATTCACTTTTAAAGGTTCTGTCTGAATCTCTGTTGTTGTTTTAGATCATTTTCATTTCGTTTTATTGATTTTTTTGGTTCTTTTAAAGCGTTTGTTGTTATTCTGCAGCTGGCTGATGTCACCGAGGCTCTTTGTTGTTGTTGTTTTACGTCATTTTGTGTTTATTTGTTTGTGTAACTTAACATTTTCTTAATAAAAGGAATGAAATAGACAGCTTTTATCTTATTATTTCTGTATTATGCCAAGTTTAATTGAAAGTATTTGTTTTTTTATTCATTTTGTTTTCCTTGTTTTGCTCCATTGTCTTTGTAAAACTCCTTTTAAAGTTGTGTTTAAGGATGATGTTCGGATTAAAACTAAAATTGAGGACAGTTTGATGTTTGTAAGTTAAGCTATATTTCAAAAAAACCAAAAACAAAAGTGAAATAGAAAAAAGTACCAAAAAAATGTAAAAACTGTGAAAATAACATAAAATATTTGTAAATTAATCAGATTTTTTAATAGTGAACTGATGTTTGTTTATTTTATTGTCAAAATTTTTAAAAGAACAAATTACAATAAAGACAAATAAAGATTTTTGATACATATTTTTTAAAGTTTCTATTCTGAAGCCAACACGTAAAGTTAAATCTGATTTTCTGTAATTTTACTTGTTATTGTTTGCAATTTTAGAAATTGCAAAATATGCGAATCATTTTTACAAATATTTTATTTCCCTTGAAAGATATAATTTTTCTTTCAATTAACATAAAATGTGAGCAAAATAATAACATCTTTGTAGAATTAAATGCAGTAAAAATAGTGTCAAATGTAAAAGATGTAAAAACAGAAAAGAGCAAATTGTCATTTATGAAAAAAAAATTAATACAGATTTTTGATTAGGACTTTATTTACAGTTTTGGCTCCTTCTTCTTCTTCTTTACAGTCAACATTTAGATTCATACATTTTGTCTGTAATTTTACCAGCTCTGATCTGTAAATTAACAAATCGGTAAAATAACAATTTTGAAAAATATTCACCATTTTTTAGTTCCTAATGTTCTTTTAAATAACAGTAAAATATTTGTGAAATAATCATATTTTTGCTGATCTAAATACAGCGTCAAATATTAAAGGTAAAAAAAATAATAGTTATCAATAAAAGTAATTTAATTATTTACAGTTTTAGCCATTTTTTAAACAGTTAATGTGTAAATTAATACTTAACAAAACCGGGAAAATCTGTACAATAGAACAAAATATTTCCAAAAAAAAAATCCAGTCACAAACAACCAGTGTTTATGGTGTCATTTAGTTTATTTTTTTACTGTATAAATCTCTCAAGTAGTGATAACGAGACATAAAGTGAACTTCTCGTGACGGATTCATCGTCTGAAGCTGTTTATGAGGCGACTGTAGAAACACACCTGATCTGTGGAACTGTGTTAAAAAGGCGTGTTGGGGTCAAACAGTCACTAAACTCCGACACACTTCACGGCCGACGAGGGAACCAGCAGGTTTGACTGTAAACATCCTGGAGCGACGTCGTGTTTGTCCAACGGGGAGGTTCAGGCCGTCCAATCACACGTCATCTCTCTGCGCCATTTGAATAAGTCAACACCCGTCTGAGCACCAGCTGACGCCTGCTGATTTGCATTCAGTGTTTTCAGGCCGCGAGCCAATAAAGAACTGCACCGACCTGCACCAGGAGAAGCTCTAATTCAGTCTGACGAGGCTGAACTTGGTGTTGGCGCCTCGCCGGCTGCAGACGGAGGCTTCAGCCAACTCCGGTTACATAAAGCAGCAGATTTCCGTCCACTCGGCCAAATTGTGTCGCCTCTGTTTGTAGAGTTCAGTCAAACTGGTGCTTCTGGTTTGAACATCTTCAGAGCAAACAGGCTGCTGTCGGGTGTAAACGAAGCTCTGAAGCTAAAAGTCAGTCAAACAGCTGAGTTATGGTCCGCGGGGCAAACGTTTGCTCCACTTTCACCGCTCTGCTGTGAACACAACATTTGGGTATTTGGGTTATCGGTAGTTGTTCAGACAGAACAAGACGTTTAAATGTGTCCTCTCAGGCATCAGCGCATCATGTTGAGCATATTTTATAAAAGCCTTGTTGTGCAAACTCACTGAAAAGTCACATTTCAGCACCTGCATCACGTTTAACATGAACAATCAAAAACAAA